ATAAATTGTACTGGCATTGAATTGTAGACAAATTGTACTGGCATTGAATTGTAGATAAATTGTACTGGCATTGAATTGTAGATAAATTGTACTGACATTTGATCCTAAAAGCAAATTTTAAATTTTAAATTAATTTTTAATATGGTATAAGCTAGTCATTTCTTTGTTCATATTACGTTGTTATAATTCTATACGAATTGTAGCATTTTATCCTGTTTAATGCGATGTTATTTAATTTACTTTTATGTGCGACTCTCATGCTTATGTTATAATTATATGTTCATATGTTCATGTTATAATTATATGCTCATCATTTCTTCGGTAATCACTAATAAGCTTAATTGTATCTAGATTTTTCTCATCTTAAAAAAAAATTTCATGTACTATTAGCATATAATTAGGTTTCATTTCTATCATCCTAATTATATAATAATTTCAATGCAGTAGATTGTTGTCCTATATTAGATGTTGCTGCCATATTATATATTATATCGTAATAGGTCTTACCACTGATCTCTATATACAAAGTATTAGTGGAATAGTTAGTTAGTATTAATAAGTATTAGTACTTAGTACATAGTTATATCATATATAACTAGTATATAGAGATCAATGGGACTGACATCTTGTGTACAGCGATGTTATTCAATTCGCTTTGACATGTTCACGACTTATGATTATATCAGGAGTGTATCAAAACTTTTGATACACTCCTGATTATATGTTATTAATAATATTGTTGTCATATGTTATTTGCTAATCATTTCATCGTTTATGCTAAGGAATTGCTTTTACATAGACTAACTGTCATTGTATATTATTCCATTGCTACGTGCACGTGTGCGTGCTGTGTCGTATTTGTTTATAAATAACCAGAAGTCAGAACATAGTGAACCGTTTATTTCCGTTAATGTCTCAATTATCCGATGATCATTGGCCATCTGACACTCAGTTTTATTCGACAGCCAATCGGTATAATGTGATATATACAGAACCGTACATGTACCGTACAGAGTTGTACTGCGCACACATACATACAAATTTTACAAATATCATGCCGTTTGACAATGCATCACATACCGCCATTGACGTAGCAATCTATTTTCAAACAATAGCTAACAATAGTTTCGTACTGTATTATTCTGCAGAATAATTAATAGTGAACCAGTTTTCACACGTTTACTGCGACTTGTTTCACTCTTACTGCCTCTTCCACATTATCTGACGTTTTTCGATTATCCAACCACCTATAGGTACTGTTTAGGACAGTCACTTTTAGGTAGGAAAATATGTGCTTGCGTGCGTGCGTGTTGGATGATGTAGTATTGATAAGCAGGCGTTCAATCTTCATTGTCGTCCTCCAGTGTCTGCATTCTACATCTGCAACAGTGGTCATGATACCCCTCCATACAATGGCTGCAGAATCCTACCTACACAAGAAACATCTTCTGTAAATAAGCTCATATTTTTGGTGATGAACAATAACTAACAATAGATCTGTAACATCTGTCAGCCTCTCTATCTACCAGTCTGCGTCTCTACCTTTCTATCTTTTTGTCTGTTTCTCTCGTTCTCTATCTATCTGTCTGCCTCTCTACCTTTCTATCTTTTTGTCTGTTTCTCACGTTCTCTATCTATCTGTCTGCCTCTCTACCTTTCTACCTTTTTGTCTGTTTCTCACGCTCTCTATCTATCTGTCTGCCTCTCTACCTTCTGCCGTTTCTTGCACGCTGCTTCCACGGTATCCTAATTATTTCCAATTATCCAAACCTTACTGCATATATGCTTACATTCATGCATTGGTGCGTGTGTCCGGGAACCTGCGCGTGTATGCGTGGAGACGTCTGTCTAATACACTTTACTATTACAATTACAATTACAGCAACTATTACAATTTTCAATACTGTGTGCCATCACACAGTATGAATTCACACGTTTACAATAACGTTCTAATTAGTGCTCGTAAGGTTTGTGTTTGTTTATATGAATCTTATGTTCTATATATATATATATATATATATATATATATATATATATATATATATGTGGCTCTCTCTCGCTCCCTTGCTCTCTTTCTCTCTTGCCATTTTTCTCTATCTATCAGTCTATGTCTCTCCCTCTCTATCTATCAGTCTGTCTCTCTATCTTTCCACCGTTTCTTCACTCTGCATCCAGAGTATTCTAATTATTTTCGATTATCCGA